ACAGAGGTGATGCTCCCTTCTTATCACATCTGTCAAGATGTGCATGATAGTCCGTGGTATTCCAGGTGACCGTAACCTTCACCGCTTGGTTAAGGTGGGATTACCAGGCTTCTCCATGGGGAAGTTGTTATTTTTCTCTTTTCCTTTCCTGTTCTTTGAAAGCTAGGCACTAAATCCAGCTGGTGCTGGGATTAAACTCCAAGTCTGGGAGGATCAACTGTGCTTTTGACTCTTGTGCTCTACAAATGGGAAGTACCAGGGCCTAGTAAACTTCTTAGCATTTCAAAGAGTGACTCCCCTAAACTGTCAAGTTCAAAGTCCTGCCCCTGGGGAGGCGAGGGCCCCTCCTCTCTCTTTGTATATCATAAAATGCCTTCATCCTCCTGCCTTAGCTCTTGGTTGGACTACACATTTGTTTCCTCCATTAGATAGTCAAGTTCTTGAGGGCTTGCTACATGTTTTTATAACACAATAGCAACGGCAAAATAGCAGCCACTATTTACTGGGTTTTTATCCACTGATTATCTCATATAATCCTCAAAACTACCCTTTATTGTGGATACCACTAATATTTCCCATTGTGTGGATGAGAAAATTGAATCACCTTCCTCTTAAGTTGCCCTGGAGACCCCCAGGGCAACTGGCAGCTCCGTTTGCTGGCCCCCATTTCTTAGCACTGTGCCTGATACTGAGCAGATGTCAGTTCAATATTTAAATGTCTCCAGTGATAAGTTGATGAAACAAGACTATTTTTCTGCCTTAGTTGACCTTCTTTGATTAGAGAACACTGTTAAAGCATAGAAAAAAGAAGAGAGCCTTAAAAATAATCATGCTTCAATAAAGGCATTGAAAGCAAAGTTCTGTCACATTCCTTTCTTTAAAAAACTGTAATTGCATTTAGTGGGCTTGTTAAATTTGCACACGATTCCATCATGCACATCACATACCTGCAGCTTATTTTATCTCATCCCCGTTCAGGCTAATTTAACATATAAGTGATGAAAGGAAGGAGTATTTATCTCTGAGGTTGATATACTGACTCTTGAGTCAGGGAGACTTAATAAGGTCAGCAGATAGAAGTATAAAATGAGGGGCGCCTGGGTGGCGCAGTCGGTTGGCCGTCCGACTTCAGCCAGGTCACGATCTCCTGGTCGTGAGGATTCGGGCAGGCTCCTGGGCTGATGGCTCCAGAGCCTGGAGCCTGTTTCCATTCCCCTCTCTCTCTGCCCCTCCCCCATTCATGCTCTGTCTCTCTCTGTCCCAAAAATAAATAAACGTTGAAAAAAAATTTAAAAAAAAAAAGTATAAAACGAAAACCAAAATAGCACCATAGTGTCATTGGAAGACAGACAGAAGTATGCAACTCGTTAAAATCATCTTCTAATTCATAAAAAAATATGTATTAGCAATCCGCTGTAGGTAGGACCCTGTGCTAGGCATAGGAATAAAACAACACAAGACAGAGAAGGAACCTATTCCCAGAGAGTAATGAACTAATGGGGAAGACAGACACCAAGAAATAAACAACAAATTATATTAGTGATAGGATGTTCCAGGGAAAACAGGAGCCCACTCCCAGGATAACACACAACCCTGTACGTGCCTCGTGGAAGCCTCCCTGCCAGGGGTACCTTTACACTGACATCAAACCTTTAGCCAGGAATTTAAAATGCATCCACTGAATTCATTAAAAAGAAAATATTTTTCATCACAAGTTGAGTGGGATTCCACAGCCACTGTTTGATCCTCTTGCTGCAAATATGTTGGCAGTGTGTCTCCATTAAGGTGTGATTCCTCCAACGGCAGCTGGGTGGTTCAGCCGGTTGAGAGTCCAACTCTCGATTTCAGCTCAAGTCAAAAATCTCACGGTTGTGAGATTGAGTCCCACGTTGGGCTCTGCACTGAATGTGGGGCCTGCTTGGGATTCTGTCTCGCACTCTCTCTGTCCCTCCTCTGTTCATGCTCTCTTTGTCTCTCTCAAACATAACTAAATAAGCATTTTTAAAAAACTCATTCCTACAAGACTCTTAACAGGTGAATGGCGGGTTTCTTTTGGCAACCTAACTGCCCTGTGGTTTCTACCCCTGTGCTCTACCCTGCCCCTTTTAGGAAGGTATCCTCGTACATTAGTTTGTCATGTCAGAGTTGGTGAGCTGTTGAAAATGGATCTAACTGCCAACTGCTCATTCTAAGAAAGAGTCAGTAGGGAGAAACTGAAGCGCAAATGACTTTTCCTTCTTGTTTTCGATGGGTCATGTCATCCCTGAGGGCGGAAGGCTTCTTGCTGATGGTTTTTGCCTCCAAAACTAGGTTTGAAGTTAACCACAGTCTTTATTTAGAGCCATGTTTTTTACTCAACAGCGTTTATCCCAAGTTCTGAAAAACAAAGCCTTCACTCCTGTGAGATTGTACAGCTGCAAATGATTAATGATATAATTCTCAGTCCTTTATAAAGTGTCTCAACACTGAAGAGATTTATCCAGTGTGGAATGGTAATGGTGCTTCAATGTGAGAATAGGTAATCAATACCTCCGAGCTTGGAAAAGTGTTCTGTTTCCTCCACTAATGACATAGGGGTTTTTGTAAGGCAAGGGTGTCTGGAGCATGAAGCACTCCAAAGAAAAATTAATTTAAAATCCGAAGTGGAAGATCAGTTTCAATTAAACTTGCACTTGAATGTACATTGGGTGGAAGTGTGAAAGCAAGGATGTCGTTGGTTTAAATCTTCAGATTGTTACCAGTGAATAAATGGATCCCACTGGTACGAACCCTGATTATATTTTCATAGAGTGCTAAATTATATTTCACCCATGTCTGGAAGGTTTTGAGAACTAACATGAATGGCAAGTACTTTTAAGAGGTCGCAGAGTACTTTTCTTTATTAGTAGGATAATGATCAGGTGTCTGTATTTACAAATGATGGCTTGCATTCTCACTTCTTTGGAGTCGTACATGTTTGGAGTTTTACTGTGCATGTTTTTCCCACCGAGTATAATTTTATCGTACTAGTGAGATCCTAAAAGGCATTGCACACACACACATATGTACGATACTACAACATTAGTTTCCATAATTTGAACATATAGGCTCATGAGACACATCAACAATCACTTTATTCGCCTATAAGAATATTTAAAGAATGGATCGGAAAATTGGAGCCATTCCTTATGTCCCCTTTCCCCTCCTTTTTTCCTTCAAATGTAGTGCTGCAAGATGAAAGTGAAGTTTGGCTAGAATATATGCAAATGCACACTCTGTTCCTTTATGACTCATCATAGTCTTAGGGAATTTGACCAAGAGGTGAAACAACGGGAGTGAAAAGCCCTTGATGTGTCTTCCGTTAGTAGAAGTCCAACAGTAAAGACAATGGTGATGTTAACTTTCTCTAGAAAGCCTTATGACACTTGTAAATGATTTTGAAAAGTGCCCTGAGGTTTCTAAACCTTTGCCAAGCGGTGAGCATGTTCTTCCTGATAGTCTCTTTTATCTTACTGTTTGGGATGAGAATTCGGGAAAATGACCCAGGCATAGGAAGAAGCCAAGTTACTTGCCAGACAGCAAGAATAGGGATCATTTTTAGGGAGTCACCTCAATTGCTTTTGCAGCCATGAAGCTTCCATGACCATGAGTGAAAAGATTTTCTTTGTCTCTTTTTTCATGTACCATTGTTTATATTAGCTGTAAGCTGTATAGACATAGGGAGATGGGGACATTTGTGGCCCATGGTGGATGGCAGTGGGTTGGGGACAAATGTGTAGGCTTTTATTCAGTAGTAGAGAGACTTATGGTGTCTCTGTTCCTCCATCACACAAAGCTAGGTATAGAATGAGGTGTGAAAATACTGGTTCATGGGTGGATTGGTCTCTTAAAATCACTTTGGCTGTTTGTCCTCTTCTATCTGATACGTGAAGAAATTTGAAGCTATAAAACCTAGGTTGGAATCCATGTATGTATGTATGTATACACATTATACTTTACTGATTGGGAAACCTAAAAATTATAAGACTTAGACTTATTTTATATCTGATTCTCAAGAACAGATGTATCTTCATCTTTCTAGCAAAAGACGTGTCCATTCAACAGGCCACTCCTGCTTTATCGTGTCTAGAAGGGCAAAGGCCGGGAACAGAACAGTCTCAGATACTGGTTTAATTGTTTGATATCAACTTAATAGATATCACCCCCCCCCCCAGATCATTTCATGTCCAAGTATAGCAGAGAGGCAGGTGCAGTATGTTTTCTCTGCCTGTGCCTGATTGATACCCAGTAGGATTTGGCATTATAGTTGCATTCTATTTTATTCCTGCTGCGTGTATCCCCAAGAAGCCTGTCTTTATATGAGTGCTGCGTTCAGTCTGAAGGCACCTTTATACACCCATCTCCTAGGCCGGAGAGGGATTCGGAGGGAGAGGGAGTACCTGAATGTGCAAGTTTACATCAGGCCAAACCAAAAAATCTTTCACAAATAACCTAAAAACCCTGCCTCATTGCCTCTTTGTAGTGACTCTCATCCCATGTTACACTGCTTTTGATTTTTGATTTTTCCCTTTTCCAGTTCACAAACTCCTGGGAGCTAAGAAGAAAGTTGTGTTTGTTACACTGTTGGTGATAGCAAAATATGCTAAACTGATTAAGGTGTTTTCTTGTGAATCAATGCTTTGCTTATTTTGGGAAACTTATTTAAATTTTCTTAAAAATGTGAATGACTCTGACAGCCCGTCTGCTCAACTTCCTTAATCTGATTACAGAGAAAGTTAGCAAATGTTTGATTACAAATCAAACAAAACAAAACTATATTAAGGGACATATCCTTTCTTAAATCTTCTCACCCCATCAAGCAAGTGGCTTGGATCCATAGTTTCCACTGGACTGACATCTTTGGAGTGGGCACATGGGGGAAAATGTACCTTCGGAGACATCATGCTTAGCTTCCTACTTCCTGTTAATTCCATCCTTGATCCTTGAACCATGAGGATTGAAGTATCGTTTTCTTTTAACAGGTGCCTATGGTCCTGAGCACTGGGTCACATCAAGCGTTAGCTGCAGGGGCCGTCATCAGTCTCCCATAGACATTTTAGACCAGCATGCACAGGTTGGCGAAGAGTACCAGGAGCTACAACTTGATGGCTTTGACAATGAGTCTTCAAACAAAACCTGGATGAAAAACACAGGGAAAACAGGTAGAGTCTGTCTTTTTTTTTTACTAGTCCACAAAACACTGTGAAATATTTTTGGATGTCTCTAGTATTTACCTTACCTATGACTTGCTCCTTAGGTAGTGCATGTTGCTATAGGGGACATAGAGCTGAATGAGAGCTTTGGGATCAGCTCTTGGTGTGAGAACCAGCCACTTGCTCTACTAGCTGTGTGATTTTGGGCAAATTACTTAACCACTCTCTGTGCCTCAGATTTTAGAAGTATAATAAAGGTACATAATAAAATACTGTCAACCTCATAAAGTCATAAGGATTACGTGAATCAACCTTTGTAAAGTGTATAGAACGGACTTTCAGAAATCTGCTCTATCTGTGATGATGGCCACTAGCCACATGTGGCTTTTTAAATTTAACTATTAATTAATTAAAAGCAAATAAGATTAAAGTTCACTCCCTCTGTTGTAATAGCCACATATCTTTTTTTTTCCCCCCTGAGTTCATTAGGTTGTCCATGTTCAGTGTTTGAAAGCAGAGGATACATATTCAGATCTTTGTGGGGTTTTTTTGTGGGGAGAATTTTATTTATTTTTGACTTTTATTTATTGTATTTATTGTTTATTTTTTGACTTATTTTTTATTTTATTATTTATTTTTTTTACTTTTATTTTTCCAGCTTTATTGAGAAGTAATTGACTTATTACATTATATAAGTTTAATGTATACAATGTGATGATTTGATACATGCATATATTGCCAGGTGATTACTGTAATTAGGTTCATTAATATTCCTATCACCTCACATTGTCCCTTCTTTCCTTCCCTCCCTCCCTCCTTCCTTTCTCCCACCCTTCTTCCCTCCCTCCCTTCCTTCCTTTTTTCTTTCCTTCTCTCCTTCCCTCCTTCTTTCCTCCTTTCCTCCTTCCTTCCTTCCTTCCTTCCTTCCTTCCTTCCTTCCTTCCTTCCTTCCTTCCTTCCTTCCTTCTTTCCAGTGAGAATATTTAAGACCTACTTTCCTAGAAACTGTGAAATACACAATATAGTACTGTTGACCTTAGTCACCATGATATACATTCCCAGGCTTAAAGTGGAAGTTTATACCCTTTGACCACATCTTCCCATTTACCACATCTTAGCCCCTGGCAACCACCATTCTACTGTTTCTCTAAGTTCAACTTTTTTAGATTCCGTATATAAGTGAGAACATACAGTATTTGTCTTCCTGTGACTTACTTGACTGAGTATAGTGCCTTTGAGGTCCATCCATATTCTCATAAAAGGCAGGATTTCATTCTTTTTTATGGATAGTATTCCATTGTGTGTGCGCACGCGCGCGCGCGCGCGTGTGTGTGTGTGTGTGTGTCTGTAACATTTTATTTAATCATTCATCTATTGATGGACACTTAGGTTGTTTCCATGTTTTGGCTATTGTAAATAATGCTGCAATGAACATGGGGGTACGTATATATTTTCAAGATAATGATTTCATTTCCTTTAGATACATACCCGGAAGTAGAATTGCTGGGTCATTGGGTAGTTGTATCTTTAGTATTTTGAGGAACTGCCATATTCTTTTCTATAGCAGCTGCACCAATTTACATTCCCATCAAGAGTGCACAAGGGGTCCCTTTTCTGTGCATCCTCATCAATACTTTTTATCTCTTGTCGTCTTGATAATAGGCATTCTAACAAGTGTGAGGTGACATCTCATTGTAGTTTTGATTTGCATTTCCCTGATAGTAAGTGATGCTCAGCCCTTTCCATATACCTCTTGGCCCTTTGTGTATCTTTGGAAAAATGCTTATGGTCTTTTGCCAAGTTTTAACCAGGGCTATTTAGTTGTTTGGTTTTTTGGATTATTTTCAGTGGGTTTTGGTTATTGTTTTTTGTTATCATAGTTGTTGTTTGCTATTAATGAGTTCATTATGTATCTTGGGTATGGAAATCTTTATCACATGTGTAGTTTGTGGATTTTTTTTCATATTCATTGGATTGCCTTTTCATTTTTTTAATTATTTCTTTTGCGTGGAGAAAGAAGCTTTTTAGTTCAATGTGATGTCACTTCTTTATTTTTGCTTTTGTGGTTTGTGCTTTTGGTGTTATGTCCAGAAAATCATCCCTTAGATCGCTAAGACCAATGTCTGGGAGCTTTCTCCTCATATTTTCTTCCCGAAATTTTATGGTTTCAGGTCTTAGATTTATGTCTTTATTTCATTTCAAGTTACTTTTTGTGAGTGATGTAAGGTAGGAGCCCACCTTCATTCTTTTGCATATGAACCTTTAGTTTCCCCAGCACCATTTATTGAAGAGATCCATTCCCTTTGAGTGTTCTTGGCTCTCATGTCAAATATTAGTTGATCGTATATTGTATATGTGTGGACTTATTTCTGGGTTCTAGATTCTGTTCATTGGTCTATGTGTCTGTTTGTATGCCTGTTTCATACTGTTTTGATTACTATAGCTTTGTAGCATAGTTTGAATTTGAAGATCATGGGTAGTATTGTGCTAGCCACATTTCAAATACTTAGTAGCCACATATGGGCAGCAGTTACCATGCTGAGGCAACACAGATAGAGTGTGTGCTATCACTGCAGAAAGTTCTCTTGGGCAGCTCTGTGCCAAATGCACAAATGGAAATAAAGTTCTTACCTTCCTTGGGTTTTGGCTGTGTTAATATTTCCTATTGTATTAGAGCACAGAGGAACACTTTCTCGTTCTTTTGTATATCAGGTCAGCAACTCTAGTCTCCTGCTTCATTTTAACATAATCACCCTCACTTGTCATTTGAAATTTATGAATATGAAACATTCTGTTTTCGCCATTGCTAACGCAAGGAGCTATCTCCCTCTTAATCACTATTGTGCCATTATCAGTTTTAGATTGTCCATGGAATTAGAGAACGCTTTGCTGTGCCCCACTGCCTGATCTGAAAAATAAACACAGGGCTATTATATTACATCTCTACCTCATGCTACCTGGGATTCTGTTGGTACTAAATACATTTTTCATATCTTATTTTTGAACTCTTATAACTCTCAATGATTAAAACAAACTCTCTCTCTCTCTCTCTTTCTTCCTTCTTTTTGAAATGATCCCTTTGTAACCAAGGATATCACTACAAACCACTCTTAGTAATCCCTTTCAAGAGCCTTGGCTGGCCAGAGCCCTAGTGCTAAGCTAAAGTGACTTCACTGTCAGCCCTTTTTGACCCACAATAAGAATGAAACCAGAGTTGTCTTTTCTTTTAACCTAAGTGGCTGTATGTACAACTTGGGGAGGATTCATTTTCTTTCTCCAAATCAGCATTTGTCTGAGATTATTCATGGCTGATGGTTTGGGGTTGGCCTCATTTGTTCGTAAATTGCTTCTCAATTGTCAGCACAGTGATTCCTGGCTTTGGGCTCTTTTTCATAATGTTCTCATAATCGGTGGTCCTCTTGCCTTAGAGTAGGTAGGCTACCCTCTCTTGCACCTGAGTCATCCATTTGCATAGCTGCGCAGGAAACATGTGGGACTGGTAATGTTATCTGTACACATGCTTTTTCACCCCCATTTCTCTCCTCCAATGTAGACAATATATATTTTTTGTTACAATTCAGAATTTCTCTATCAGTGGTCCTGCTTTGTATTTCAAGCATGAGTAACCTTTGGAGAACCGTGATGGGAATATTAACTCTTCCGACCATCCGAATGTGGTGGACGGGAGTGTTGCCATACTAGGTGTTATCAGCTGTTGGCATGGAGTGCCACCTCGGCGCCACATTCCGGAAACCTGCCAAAGGCAATTCGCTGGGCTCTCTGATACGGTTTTCTACTTGACTCGCAACGTTTGACAGCCTTCTGCGAAGATAACACGTTTCAGTGACAGCTTTCAGCTTGGTATCACCAATGACAGGTTTTAGATGAGTGTGGGGTTCACTCAATGCACGTTGATTCATGACCTTGGTCTTCCAGAAGCTGATTATCAATCTCTGTCACTGTGCTGACTTCCTAGAGTCATCAACAACTTGTTGTAGATCCATGAGTGCGCGCGCCTGAATTTAGAGCGCAGCCATCCAAATACGAGCACATCTGTCTCAGAGAGTCTAGAAGAAGCATGCCTTTCTGAGAAGCAGAAATAAATCCCCATTACTTCTCACTCTGTACTTACTACTGTAAAATTCATGACATCATCCTCGATTGGCCATATTTCAAATAATCTTAAGATGATTCCATAGGGCTGGTTTTTAAAAAGTGACAACCACGTCTAGGCAATGTTAAACAAGAACATGGAATTGTTTCTCTGTTCTCTTAAGTTTCAGTTTATGGTGGTTTAGGAACACGGGTGCAGAAATCTTCTTGTGTTATTGGTTTTCTTTTTTCTTTGTCTTCTTTTTTTTGTTGTTGTTGATAAGCACAAACCTAGAAACTTCTTTCATTCTGTAGTTGTTAAAATGCCAGATGAGTTCATAAATTTTCCAGTATTTTGGAGAAATGAAGATCAGTTGCTTTATTTCCCATGCATGAACCTTATAAATTCAACTGAAAAACAGTATACGTACTGTGCAGGGTGCCGTGCGTCTAAATTAAGGGCGAGTATTGACAGTATCCACTGTGAATAGTACTGATAGGTACCCCAGATAACATCACTTTTCGAAAACACACATATCATCAGCCCTAACTAAAGAGGAAGTGGACCTACAGCTAGTGGTATTCCAGCAAAGGGATCTGGACCCCAAAAAGGAAGAGAATCCAGAGTGTGAGAAGAAAGTGGTCAGCAGAGTATAAGTACAAAGTACCAGAAACATCTGAAGATTAAATCCTTCTGCTGGTACCAAAACTCCAGGAAAGAAAGCATACATATAAAACATGCCATAGGAAAGTCTCCCAAATTCACTTCTGGTTCCAAAAGAGCTCACGGGAAGAAGAGAAAGGCCTTCCCCTGTTTGGTGACCTGAAACCTGCAGAGCCCAAGACCCCAGGTAAAGGCCCAGGGAAGAAGCCGAGAATCAAAGGAAAAGTAGAGAAACAATGACATTCTTCATTGG